TCCTTTCTTTCGCGTGCAGCGGCCTCAAATAATAGACAGGAAATATTGATAATTTCGATTCGACGTGCCACTGAGTTTTCGATGCGTTTCTTGCGGGATGTGGTATATAAAGACCGCTTATTCGAACCCATGGCGAATTTCGTTCTCCTTGTGGCTGTAACGAGAACCAGTATTAAACGCGTTGCCAGCCCAAAAGACTATTCAGTTGATTTCGGTTGTTCTCAGAATAAAAATTTTCTGGCGCAGTGATGGTATGCGTTGAGGATCGGCCACTACATGACTTTCCCGATCTGTCTCCTTTCCGGTATTCGCACCCAAAGAGGTTTAGTGATACGCATGCGTCAAGGAATAACCTGCTGATCACCGAAATTTTACTTTAAACAGTAGCAGCGTTGAAAAGTCCTGACGACATAAAATGCAAAAGTTTTTATTTAAAGTAGTAGTAGTACAAACTAAAAAAGTAGAAGTAAAACAGGTTTTCCGGATATTTTTTTGGCTAATCAAGCTTTTCAAATAAATTTACTAGTCAAGCATTTCAAATTTTCGAAGCCAAATATGATAAGCCGCCAAAAAAAACGTCATCAGTGGTGGTATCAAATGCAGCTTGTTGTAGATGTTAATGCTGGGTGTGGGAAAATCTTCGAAGCAAAGAAAGTTGGATGATAAGAAGAGGCTTCGCCTAGGACGGATGTTCCTCGAGCACATTTATCAAATTTTATGCGAAAACGATCGATTTTGCAGTCTACAGGGATTTGAACTTCAACGGGTCTGCTTGCTAATCTCACTTTTCATCATATCACTGATACCATTTACAGCAGCGGCTATTATTTATCTATGCTCTTGCTCACCTCATCGATCAATGCAACTAGCAGCTTTTCCATCCTTTTCGGTTCTCAGTCTGCTACATTTTTATGCGTTTTTTGCAGCAGTGCAATGCAAAAAACGCATATTGACGAGAGGTTGTCTGTGTGTCCGTGTGTCTGTGTGTGCGTCTGTCACGCACTTTCAACTCAGGACCTGTAAAAGCTGCGGGACTGGAACTTCGGGAACTTAAACTACATGCACGTGCCAGCCCAAATCCCCAAAATTGGCGCCAAAACCCGCGTGTTACCCGCGTACAGGTCATGCACGTACCGCCCCCAGTCCCCAAAATGGGCGCCAAAACCCGCGTGGTACCCGCGTACGGGCTTCCCAAAGTTTTTTCGGGGTCAGTTCATAACTCGAGGATCTGAGAAGCTAGAAGGCTGAAATCTTGGAGTAATGTTCCCGCCCAAAGTTTTTTTGGGATCAGTTCATAACTCGAGGATCTGAAAAGCTAGAAGGCTGAAATCTTGGAGTTTTTTTGGGGTCAGCTCATAACTCGAGGATCCGAGAAGCTAGAAGGCTGAAATCTTGGGGTAATGTTCCGCCCATCCCCAAAATTGGCGCCAAAACCCGCGTGGTACCCGCGTACGGACCCCCCAAAGTTTTTTGGGACTCCCCAAAATTGGCGCCAAAACCCGCGTGGTACCCGCGTACGGACCCCCCAAAGTTTTTTTGGGGCCCCAAAATTGGCGCCAAAACCCGCGTGGTACCCGCGTACAGGCCCGCCAAAGTTTTTTTGGGATCAGTTCATAACTCGAGGATCTGAAAAGCTAGAAGGCTGAAATCTTGGAGTTTTTTGGGGTCAGTTCATAACTCGAGGATCTGAGAAGCTAGAAGGCTGAAATCTTGGGGTAATGTTCCTCGCCTAAGCGGGAATTAGTGGGCTTAAACCCAGCCATCGCATAAGCGTGGTACCCGCGTACGAGCTCGCCAAAATTTTTTTCCGGTAAGTTCATAACTCGGGGATCTGAGAAGCTTGGGGGCTTGAAATCTTGGAGTAATGTTCCCCGTCCGAGCGGGTATTAGTGGGCTCAAACCCAGCCCCTGGGTAAGCGTGGTACCCACATACGGGCCCACCAAAGTTTTTTTCATGTAAATGATAACTCAAGATTTAAGAGGATATACCCCGTCCACCTAAGTTTCATTCAGCTCGAACCCAGCTCTCAGGTATGCTTGGAAAACATATACGGGCCCGTGAGAATTTTGTTCCAGTAAGTTGCTAACTCAGGTGTCAGGGAAGCTAGAAGGCTGGAATTTTAAGGGGAATTTTTCTGACAATTCTGGCGATCAGTATTAATTTGTTTAGCTAGAAGCGTTTGCCGAAAAAACCGGTGCCGGTTGCAACAAAAACTGCGGGGAACCATGCAAAAAACGCATCTTCGCACGGGCAGCCCGTGCGTTAGCCAATTATTTTAGTTCCATAAAGCGTTTCTCACCTGAGAACTTCCCATTATTTATTAAACAGTGTTGCTGCATACACAACAGAAACCATCGCACTGTACTGCCTGTTTTACTTATATAATCTGGAAGAGCTGAAAGGTAAAGTGTGGTAGCCATAGCGTTGTTTCGTTCTAAACGATACTGCTTTGCTGAGTAGATTTTATATTTTTTTTTCAAAAGTCGACATTCGTAACGCAGCGGGGTAGCACTGTTGTCGTGCAGTAAATGAAGATTCGACTCTGCCAGTGAGTTAACCAGTCACTGTACGATTCGTTTCGATAGTAAATTGGTACTGCCATGTGCCTGAAAGTCGAATCCATCATCAGCTTGCTTATAAGCACCTTTGGAAGAGGGTGCCATCGACAGCCCTGCTAGCGGTGAGCGGTTGAGTTGGCATTTACTACTACTCGAGCTACCTCCTAAATGCCCCAGCCTCTTGCTGAGAGCGAAATACGGAAAGGAACTTTGAATTTTTAATTTTTTCCCTAAAAAATGACACACTGTTCTTTCTAAGCGAAAGGGAACATCCATCTTCTTTCTAGTAACCCCTCCCAAGTTCGTGTCCTTTTTGCCCTTTGACATTCTCTGGAAAAACAAAACTCAGTTGGCAATTGCTAGGGATTGAAGATTTGATAGACTAGGCTATCAGCTATCTTTGTAGTTTCACGTGCTTATAGTATAAAAAAAGAAAGGTTAGCGTGACCTAATCTAGTGCTTTGGTTTTTTTCAGGTGGATGTTGGTCCAACATACCAAGTGATGGATGTGTACTGGTTAGCAAAAGGCGATGAATCCGACCAAGTAATTTAACTCCTGTTGTTTCTGCTATTCGCTGACCACTTTCGTTCTTTATGTGTAAAAAAATGTTTGTTTAGTAGAGATTTTTGTAAATTGAACTATGTTTGCAGGTTACAGAGGAGTTTCTGAAAAGTTCTGAGAATTTCGTCCGTAAAAGGCTATCTGAATTTCTGGGAAACAGCAAGGTACCACGTGTCAATTTCACTTCTGAACGCAGGCATCTTTTAGAGCAGGTAAAGTGCCTTTCGCTATCAGTTTTTCGCATACGGGTTTCATGTACGCAGCAGTTCATTCCCTTTTGGAAGATCGCTTTCTGATTGCTCTTTTTTGCAATGGCATGTCAGAAAGGCTAGGGAATTCTTGTAGAAGTCAGTATAAGTAGGTAGAGTTTATGTCAGCAATAAGCTTGGAGCTAGTAATTAGGCCGAAGCAGCTTATCCTGCTTCCATCAGCCGAAATGTTCGCTGTTTCCAGCCCGATTTTGGCAATAGAAAAGTCGGTTTCTGCAGACAAATCCCTTTAGGAATACACGGGCCTAATTTAACAGTCTTTGCTTACTGAAACTGATTTTTGAACGTACATCAAAATTATTAGATCAGCGAAAATTCGTACTATTTAGAAGTGAAAATTCGGGAACTACCGCTTGTGAATATCTTTTTAGGGCTGCTATTGCGGTCCAAACTTGGGGATGGGGGGG